ATGTGGTCGCGGCGCAATAAATTCCCATGTATGGGGCTTATATATATATATATATAGAAAATTTTGAAATACTAAAAATGGAAGGTAATATGCTCCCATTGCTAGGATTATAAGCAACTTCACCCTTTGTTAATGTGAACTAAAAAACCACTTAAAAGAAGAACTCTCTGAACAAAAGTGTACAACACTTATTTTTATTAACCAGCTTAAGAAAGTGGATCAGTATTTTTTTCCCGAGATTTTAGCAAAAAATTCTTATGTATTTACGTATCTCATCTCTAAACTTTCATATTTACACAGCGCTCAATTTTTTAATATCACATAAAAAATAGTAGTACTATTGCTACTTGAAACTGAAAGACTCCTTTCATGCAAAACTTTGAAGCAACAAAGCACTATATATGTAAATATGGAAATTTGGGTGTGAGATGTGAATACATGAGAATTGTGTGATAGGCATGTAAATTTCCCTAGATTTTAGTGGGAGAATAAATATTTTCATATCATGCAAGAGCTATGGAAAATATGGTAATAATTGAAATCTATCTAGAATGTCAGATAAAAACTTCATTTTTATTAGATGAAGAAGACAGACTCAGAGCATCCTTGATTCCACTTGAGGTGTGGGAGGCATTTTGCAGGAAAATACAATACATTTATACTAATTAAGGCATTGCTCTCTGTGATGCTGAACATTATTTTACAAATTCCTGGGTATCGGGAATCTGCGCAATTTTTTTATTTTTATTTTATTTTTTTTTAAGATTTACATGCATACCACTCAACTCTTATGTATTTACATATCCAATGCCTGAATTTTAATTTTTACATGTATGCCACCTTACCTAATGCATAAAAAGTTGTATTTCATTTTTTTAGAATCAAAATAGTGATGTTTTTATGTGATATAAAAGATTAGTGTGGTATAAATGTGAAAAAGAAAAGTTCAGGTGTTAGATATGTAAATGCACGAGAATCCGGTAGTATGTATGCAAATGCCCCATTTTTTTGGAAAATTTACATGCATGCCACTCAATTCCTACATATTGAGCACATGAACTTTAGTTTTTACTTATATGGCACCCTGCCTACGCTTGAAAATGTGTATTTTCTTGTTTTTTAAATTAAAATAGTGATATTTTGTTTTTAAAATATGAATATAAAAAGTTAAGTTTTGGTGCTAGATATGTAAATAAATAGCCGAAAATTGAGGATGCAAATGCCACATTTTTCTGTTAAATATATTTTCTCTTCCAATATATTTCTATTAACAACTGTGGTTTGCTTCACCAAATATTTTGAGGTGAGGTTCTATCATTACAATCTCGTCAAAATTGCAAAAAAAGGAGGTTTTCATTTTAAGAAAAGGCATCTATATACATTCTAAGGGTCTGTTTGAAGCGGTGGTCGTGGTATCATGCTGGAGTTTTGTATGTTTTGGTAAACTGTGTTTTGATAGCTTTTTCAAAAAATTGTTGCTAAAATCTGCATTTTTCTATCGATCCTGACTAGGTAACTATAGTAAATTTTTTTCAAAAAAAAAATGAAATAGTTTCTTGAGCATCAAATTATTTTTGAGCTACGATAAGATGAGACATCCTAAATTTTTTTTTTTTTTAAAGAAAATATTTTTTTATTGAGGAAGAGTTGTCATGTCTTTTGAGAGAAATCTCCCCTCAAAATTTTATATTATTAAAATTTTATTTTAAAATAAATATCTTTTAAACTTTTAATTTTTTTATTAAAAAATAATGTCAATTTAAAAGATAAAATCATAAAGTGATTAATAAAACACAATCAATTGATTTCGTGATTAATCTAATTCTTACATCATATTCTTTGAAGCTTAATTTTCTTTTTAATTAACAAAAGATGAAAAAAAATCTTTGCTAATTATTATGAGATTTGGGATGTGGTTTGAGAAAGTGGTGCAGCGGCAGTGCGATACTGCATTACAATTTTGTCTGTTTTTGTGATGCATTTTGACAATTCTTTCAAAAAATTCTAACTGAAATCTGTATTTTTTCACCACTCCTGACTGGGTGCAGTGACACGATATAACCTAAAAAAAAATTATAATAATCACCGCAATTTTTTGAGTATAAGATTATTATTCAGCAGATTTACAGCTATCTGAAAAATTTTTAATGAACTAAGAAAAAAAAATTAATGATCCTAAATCAACTGGAGCTAGCATATGAGACCTTTGCTCAATATGTAGCATGTTAGTTACAAATAAAATGAAAAATCTTAAAAATCTTGTTTAGCTTCATTTTAGATCAATTTGAGCAAGCTTATAATTAAAATTGATTTGACTTGAGAAAAAAATTAGTACTTTTGGGTTTAATTTTAACCAAAATGAAAACAGCTTCATATCAAATTATTAATTTGGAAAATTTTTCTAAAAACCAATTAAAAATACTAAAATATATGAATTATTATATAATATTAATCTCTATTTTTAATTATCTCATATATGAAATAATATATTGAGCAATACATTGAACATTCCAAATGTGCTTATTGATTATTAAAACTAATTGTATATTTCTTTTCATTAAATTAGAGATTTTAATTTTCAATTATTATTATTATTATGATTAAAATTTCTTCAATATTCAATTTTCATTTATTGATTCAATTTTATTTTTTATTTAATCAAATAAATCAAAAAATTAAAATTAAATAAAGGATTCGTAAAAATAAATTAGCATCATACGTGCTTGTTATATACTTTTATTGTATTTGGTCACAATCAAACTATTAAGTAATGGCTAATCAATTCGATCAAATCGAATTAAATTTTGGTTCGTTCGAACCGAAGCTATCAAATTTTAGTTGGTTTAATTTTTAAAATTTCATATTTCAAGTACAATTTTGATTTATTCATAATCAAAATTAGAGTCAACCATGATTTTAATATTTTGTACTCCTGACATGCGTGATGGCTGGTACTTTGATTAGCAATAGTGGTGTAAGTCTTCTGAAGTCCCGGGTTCGAAATTGGTCTCGAAAAGTAAAAAATATTGTGTTTGGAGTCCGGGCATAAATTGTGTACAGACAACAGACATGATGCACGAAGAAATCGGAGGAAAAAATATAGAAAAAAAATAGCCTCCCAAGCATTACGTTCATTGTTCAAATAAAATTTATATCTAGATTCCGAACATAATTTTTTTTTTCATAGAATGTAATGTAATAGCTTGTATTTAAAGAAAAAAAATCATTTTGTACTGCTGAGCAGCTGAGTGCAGAATGACAGAATAATAACTCCCTTGTTTTTTAGCTGAACTAATGTGTAGATCTGATGTAGGTATTGACCAAGACAATCGTGCAGAATAATGGGAAACCTTTTTTTATGCTTCAAGTCTCTGTAGAACTCTCACAGATACGCCCAGCCGGCGCCTGTGTTTCCCCGCTCGGATCTCTTCCTAGGTCGGAGGTTTCTCGGCCGCCAGGCTCGCCGGCGCGAGATCACTCGTAGGAGGTTGCGTGCTTGATGCTGATAAGAGAAGCGATGAAGGGCGCCAAGGAGGTTAGGGTATAGCCGGAAGTAAGGGGGTTCAACTTGAATTGATCGCTATTTCTGTTACATTACGGTGTATAATGTAATTTGGGTCTGCTCTTCGCGTATAATACAAGGTTAATTGCCTGCAGTTTTTTGTTGACCTGAGAGTCGATTTTAAATTTGGTAAGAGATGATATTGCTGCAATCTGCATCAAGATTTCTCCACCAGATTTTGCAGAATCGTCTCATTAGGTGATACGTTTGTATTTTTAGTTTTTTTACCGCTTTATTTTGATATTTTTGTTCTTGAATGCATCATATTGCTTTAATCTGGCTGCAGTTCGGAGAAGAGTGTTGATCTCGACTGTCATTCAGTTGAGTTTGATGATGTTCGTTATCATATTCAGGTGATTTATCTATCTTTTGCGCTTTGCTGCCAATATGTTGCATCTGCTTGTCATCACTCTACCTTTTAGTTCCGTCCCATACAAAACCATTGTAAATTATGTTTACTTTTCATTGATTTGGACGATGCAAATAATTTTTCTAGCAAAACAAGCAGGTCTTGATTAGTATAGTGCTGAGAAAGCCTTTTATTTTCTTTGCAGTTCTCTGTGAAATCCCCTCAGGTGATGCTGTTGTCAATTTCATTACCGACTCCACCACCAGAGACAGTTTTCATGAATGGTCTTCCATTGGGTGCTATAGAGGCAGTAAAGGGAGCATATGGAGAGCTTGTTCAGATTCTGGATCCTCCAAAAGATGGATATAACCTAACCATGAAGCTTAACTTTGCTAAGCTTCCTCAAGATGAAGGTATAAGAGTTTCTTTGCCAAAATCATTTTGATGTTTCAGCTTTGTAAGGATGTATGGGCTTCATCCATGAACTTGTTCATTGAAATGCTTGGTACAATTTTAGCTTCTAAATGCTAATCATGCAATATGAAATTTGACCTTTTTAGGCTAAAACTTGTTAACATTCTTTTTTTTTTTTTAATTTAGTTTTTTAGCTAATGTTTTCTTCACAATTTGGTTGAGCTCTAGCTACTTGGTCTCATTTTAAGTGGCACTGAAATGGAAGTGGGGATGGTTTAAGTATATCTTGTTTGGTTGAATATTCAAGTTACTAGGAGAGCTTGCCACATCGACTGGAGAAGTATAACCTAACGAGTTTTATTATTTGGCTGCTGTTCTTATTTGTTTTGAAGTTACTAATATTTGAGACTGCCGCTTGCTTTACAAATAAAAAAACAGTCCTCATTAAAAATTGCACATTGTTTGACTTGCAAGCTACTGAGCAAATTATTAATGCTTTATTACAAATTGGTCCAAGAGTAATATGATCAATGTATTATAATTATACTAGTGCATTTACTGACATCAAATATATCATTATATTTTTTAAAAAATATCATGTCATATGGTTTAATTTTGTTTGTTTGATTAAATTACTATTATGTCCATATAATATATGTACATATGATATAGTAAAATCATCACTTTGCTATGCTCTTTTGTGTTAAAAAAAGGAACAGTCGCACACGACATTACACTTTTTTGGTAGAGGTAATATTGAGAATAAAACTTTGGATATGTGCCTCAAGAACAAACATTAAAGTAGGACTCTTTTCTGTTTTTTATTGATATTTGTGAAAAGAATAACTTGATAGAACTGGTGTTTTGGTTTTTAGTGGACATTAAATATAGCTATTGAAGAAATTCATGGATGCTGGAAGTGATAAGCCCGTTGAAATCAACTTTTCTTGATAATTAAAGTAAAATGATGCTTAAAGCTGCAGCCATTAATGGAATTCTATTTCTAGAATATTTTTATGATGCCAAACTTGATGAGCAAAATGGTTTCCTTGAAGACTCATGTAATGTGCTGGCCTAAAAATGTTATTTATTTCAAAAAAAAAAAATCATGAAACAAACTTTTTGTGCTAATGTTTTTGCTGCTTTGGCTTATTGGAGATTAAAACTACATTATTCCAAATTTCTATGAAGGATTTTGTGGTGGTTTTTTAGGTTTGAAAACCAAGAGAAGAATTCATTGTTTGAAAATAATATTAGATTTTAATATTGATTTGGTTTATTTTTTGTGTAAACCTTTAGCTTTTTAAATGGTCATTGTCATTCCTAATTTTCAACATTAATAATGTTAGTGCTTAGAATGTTAGTTTTGAGATTTTGTGCTCGATGGAGTGAATTTGTGCTAATCTTTGTTGACATTTTTTTTTGTTTGTTGTTGGAGAATCAACTAAGGCAAAAATTGAAATTTATTCGAGTTGTTCATCTTCATCTTTTTGGGTAGAGAAATATTGATCGGAACAGTTGTTTGTGGTTGATTGAAGAAAGCTTGGTAACATTTTTCATTTTAATCTTTTGGCTTGTGTTATTAATCGCATCTTATATATTGGTTTAACAAGATAATAGTGTTAGCATCACTGATATGTTTTTCATAATATGACATGATGTTATTAGAATGAATTTTTTTTATAATTTAGCGTTTATTCCAATCATTATGATTTTTTTTAATTGCTATTTAGATTAAAAGAATGTAAAAATCATTTGTCACAAAATCACAAAATCAGTGGATGAAACATTTGGAATGTTAACTTAAAGTTCTTCTAAAGGGTACCACAAATTACATCTTAGCAAGCAGGAAGGGTGTCAGCTTAACTGACTCTAAACAAAATTTGGGTTGGGATTGGGTTTGGCTTGTAAAATTTCCTATGATGAGTTAACTATTGATTTTTTTTATTTTATGAAATGCTCATATTAACCTTTTTCTCTATTTTATGAGTTGTGCTGTCTAATTTAGGTGATCTTGTCAATTTTTGTTTGGGTTTGCACTAAATCATCATTCTTTGCCATGTTGGGTGAGGTTTGAGTTTGATCGAATCAAATTGGGTTGAGATATTAACTTGCTTAATAAATGGTTTTGTGCTGACTATATTTGTGCTGCATTTTCTAATATTACCCAAACTAGATCCATCAATCCAAGTTGAGCCGCTATCAAGGACAAATTTTGACACAAAATTTAGATATTGAAGTAAAGGATAAAAAAATTCAAATTGAAGTTTCAAAATATAACTACAGGTCCAAAAATATATTCCAAAATTTGCATATTTGCCAACAAATATATCTTCTCGCTGCAATAATTTATTGATTTTATAGACACCTTAGTTAGTTGATGCAAAGGGACAAATCTTGTGAACCATTACGGAGTAATTACGCCGGGTTGCCCCTCTCCCTCTAGAAGCATTAGTTTACGATGAAGTGTGGTCATTTGTGTGCAATTTATTATTTTTTATTATAGCTTCTCAGAGTTTCCATGACCTCCACAAACCTGCAATTTACAAGCCATCATCAACATTGGATCTTCTCGAGAAGAAATTGTGGCACAAAAATCACAGCCGATTGCAATAATTTTCAGTTTGCTCTAGTTTTGCGCCATTGGATTGCTCTTGTGAAGAAAAATATTTCAATACTAAGATTGTGACTTATCAATGTGAATCTGCTTTTACTCTAGTTTTTATTCTTGAACCTTGCTAAAAATTTTCTACTCAATTTAGCCAGTGGTATTGTGATGCACACATCTACTAGTTTTGTAGCTTTAAAAATTTTGAAACTATTTATTATATTTGCTAATGAACACTGTGGGTGGTTCCATCATGGTATCAATGTTGCTTTCTATCTATCAATTTTCTGACTTTACGCCAACCCAATTGAGTTGATCAGGTTGGCCCCGGGATGATCATCTAATCACTTTATAGTTAGTGGAGGGCACAATCTAGCTCATCCTTTGCTGATAAGAGTAAAAAAATGTTGTAATACATGACCAAATAAGGAGTGAAAAACTCTCCCCAGTACATGTTTTTCAAAATTTGAACTCCATTATAGGAAGTTTTATAACTTCGATTGCAAACTGAAGCCCTAGATGTTGACCCAGTGAGCTATTGATCCTCTAGTTGTTCACCAATTACTGTCATCTACTCCACCTCTTTCTTTAAGAAGAAGGGTGCTTTTGCATGTTCCTAAGTCGTCTAACTTATTGATACAATGTTCTTGAGCTTTGATTACATTTTAATGTGCCCCATATCTCCCCCCTGCCTCTGCCTGTCGTAAAAACATTGGACTTGGTTTTCCAAATTTTCTCAGCCGACGCTTGTTGGTTCCCCCCCCCCCCCACCAAACAACCTCTTTCTTTTAGAAGAAAGTGTGCTTTTCCATGTTCCTAAGTCATCTGACTTTTGTTCTTGAATTTTCTTTTCAGGAGTTCTTGGGTTCATATTGATACAATGTTCTTGAGCTTTGATTACATTTTGAAGCCCCATATGCCCACCTTGCCTCTGCCTGTCCCGAATCTATTTGACTTGGTGTTTCGAATTATCTCAGCTAGGCGTCCTCCCCCTAACCAAACACACACCCCACCCAAAAAAAAAAAAAAAACCCTTTCTTGACCTATACTCATCCCTCATCCAATTACCTCTTCTGTTAGGAGACTTCTGTTAGGAGAGAGATTGTCTCGGTAATCTCCATCACCTGCAGACTTCTGATTATTCAATTCTCTCAATGTAGAGGATGGATTGGCTTGCACGCCATTGTCTTCTACAGACTTTGGATTATTCCGCCTCCTTTGAGGAGAGTAGCTGTCTCAACTACCTTTGGCCCTTGCCAAACCTTGGTTATTTTGCCTCCTTGTTATCTATGCCAAGGATTTTTCAAACAATCTTCGAGATGCTTTTTACTTGAAAAAAAAAAAGAATCTTTGTAAAAACTGCTTTTATAAGAGAGTTTTTATCTTCTTTGTAAAGTCTCTGATTTTCGCAACTCTTTTTCAACAACTACTTTCCGAACTCCATTATGTAAAAGAATGGTAGAATTAATGGAGCTAACGAGTAACAATCTTATGTGAATGCTGAATAAATTACTTGCAATCCTTCCTTCATTAAATGTTTTGTATTCAATGTAGGGTTTGGATGATGAACGTTTATTACTGAAATTTATGATTGCAATTGTGTTGAATTTCTAGGGTGCAGTAAACTTTTAATTTTTAATTTTTCTTTCATATGCCTTGCTAAATTTATCTAATTGATGGATTATTATTTTTAGGTACTTTGTTCACACGTTATCCATTCAAGTAAGCCCTTGAAAAAATCTTTATGCTGCATGTTATATATTAATTATTCTTTTTTGAGACATGCAACATTTAAAAACTTGCCCTTCGCTTTTATCAATGCCAGCAATAAGCATCTTTTTGCCTGCAATTTTATGTGGGTTGGGGAGGCTGTCTTTTTAGGAGTTCAGCCTTTGCATCTATTTGATATTTGTCTCAGTTTCCTTTATCTTATTTTTGCAATCTGACTTACATTACTTTTTTATGTTTATTTAGAGCAAAGAAAGGCTATTTTGCTAAAAGTTGCTTCTGTGAGAGAGGTTGTATTGGGGGCCCCATTAAGAATGGTCTTAAATCATCTTGCATCAAGAACAATCTCGCCTAATATAGGTCAACTTATTGCTCTAGTGCATCGGCCTAAGGAATCTTTTTTCCTCATTCCTCAGGTAGTGATATTTTCTCATGGGCGCATTATTTGTATATTAAGTACCTTGAATCATTTAGTTAAACCCGACATTTACTATTAGGACTTTACATTTATGCGACAAGATATGGTGTTCAAATCTGGTTCTGCTTAATGAGGTGTAGTTCATGTTTTGTTGAAAATTTTTAAGCATGAAGCAACTTCGTATTTGCTCTGTGTTAACATGTTTAGAATATGAGGCATTTGAGAAAGATTTCAAGCATTGAAACTTTAAATTTTAATACCTTTACTCTGAAGAAGAAACATAAAGAAAAGAGCTAGGTGTAATTACTTATTTTCTCTAATGGCAGGCTGAAAAGGTCACCGTTATCTTTCCGATGAGATTCAGGGATTCCGTTGATATTGTTCTGGCAACTTCTTTCTTACAGGTAAATATCCTTAAACTACGAGTTTTGTGATGTTATATTCTATGTTGATATTGCCATTTATTGTGCCAGTAATGGAACGGATCTTAAATACTGCTCTTAGTGCTCTTTAAGTAGCTATAACATTTGCATCAGGATAACTTAATGATACAAAATAATCTTACTGATTCCAGGATTGTTGTTAGTGGTTATTCTTAAAATTAGATGTATTTTAGTATGACTCTTTGGAGGCGCAGGAATTTGTGGAATCAAGGAGAGCTGCGGCCCTTAGTAATGCACCTCTTTGTACTTGGTCTCCAAGTCCTCCTCAAGAGCTCAAAGGAGTTCGTCCGGAAGCAGTATCAGCAAATGCAGGATTTGTCACCTTTGGTATTTTTTGGACACTTGGGAGCCATTTGGGATCACTTTTGGTTTTATTTTTTATTTTATTTGAAATAAAACATGTGCGGTAGCTAAAACATGTTTTATAGTTTTTAAAAATACTCAAAATCATTTTAAGATGTTTAAAAACTAATTTGTTTTTGAAATAAAAGATGGAAAACGTGTGAAAAATGCATTAAGTAAACATGTTTTAAAATAAAAACAAAAATAAAAATTAAAGTGATCCCAAAGAAGCCCTTAACAAATCATTATACATTTACTTTTGTGCTTAAGAAACCTTACTATTGCAGTGATCTACCCCCGTCATGCTGATGTGCGGAAACTTGACAAAACAGCTTGGAGTCTATCAACATTTCACGCCTATGTCAATTATCATGTCAAAGTACAAATACTTTTGCTTTCCCCCTCCTTTCTTCCTTAAAAAAAATCAGTCTTTTATAGTTTTCCTGTTTAATTGAATCTTTTTAATTCTTCTATTTTGTTACTAGGTCAACCATGTCTGTATTAGGCCTTACATTGTTAACTTTTGACAACTAGGTAAACTTGAAATAAAATACATAAAAAGAAGTTTGTTTTCCATATCATCTTTTAAGATGAAGCTGCCTTAACCTGCTCCATCAATCATGACACACCCATTCCTTAGGTGTGTGTTTATTTCAGAAGGTTGATAGCATGAAGCCTTCATTTATCATTTAATGATATTATGATTGTAAAGTGGATGAGTTAGGATGTAGATGAGGAAATTTATTCTTTAGATTTTGTTCTGGAGCTTTTCTCAAAGTTAAAACATTTTTAACACAATGATATATAAAAGCATGTTCGTATGCAGTGCTCGGAAGGCTTCATGCACACCAGGATGCGTCGCCGCGTAGAATCACTTATCCAGGTATGATCATATATTTTTTTAGAATTTATTCAAGAATCACGCATATTTTAATTGCTGTTTTTCTTAATTTTCTTATTTTGACATTTAAAGTCTCTAAATTTTTTATAGCAAACCTATATCTTAGTTTTATATTTCAACTCCTGTCACCCTTTTTTAATAATTAAGATGAGATATGCCACTTGCGGTGGCACTCTAATGTCCACTTTTCACAACATTAGGTAAGTTATGGCGTATTACTTATGGGTGATGTCTTAGTAAGATCCTATCTACTTTGTCACAACCATGTTACGTCATGAACTTTGTGTTTCATCACTTCTTAGAAATGACATAGTATTGGTAAAATTTAAATGTAAATTTACTTACACAACACTCCAATTCTTATGTGTTTGTGTTTACATATTTAACACCTAAATTTTGTTTATAATATATATATCTTATCTATATATATATATCTTATGTGTTTGTTTATAAGATCCTATCTATCTTTGCTGTTTACATATCTTATCTATACATGAAACATATGTATTTCACTTTTTAAAAATTAAAAGTGATGTTTTTTATATTATATGAGATTTTGGGTAGGAGTGTGAAATTGGGCTCAGGTCCAACCCGAAATTGACAACCAAAAAATGACCCGCCTTCAACCCTACAACCTGAACTGACTTGTATAACCCGTTTTAAGATAAGGAATAAAAGCTATTCAAGTATATCTAAGGTTGACGGGTCAACCCAAATACGGCCGATCCCAACTCAAAAAATATTCAGATCATCTCGAAACATATGTAAATACATAGAAATTGGGTTGTGTACGCATAAATACCCCTTTCTTTTATACAAACATGAAAGTTTTGATGTTGGGCATACAAATATTTGGTACTTATGTAAGCTCCTATTTCTTTTATTCATTATTGAAGTCACCTGGTTGTAAACATGTGCTTGCGTGCTTCAGGCATTGGATCGTGCGAAACCAGAAACGGAGAGAACGAAGAAACTGACCCAAGGAAATTCCTTTAATCGTTTGGTTTGTATCAGCAGATTGCTTCAAAAACTTTTTTTTTTTAATGTCATTCATAGGGGCGCGCTGATGCGCTCATTTCTGCAGAGTTTTAATGATGGACGTGGAAACTCAATCTCTTGAAAACATTGAAGCGCCAATTAGGTGATCCGTCTTTTGTAATGTGGATCTTTGAAGTTCGTGCGATTTATTTTTGGCCCAGCCAAGCAAAGGTAGATGTTATACCGATTCTTGAATGTCCTCCTTTCTATTTATCTGTAATTTAGAATTGTTATTGATTATTATTATTTTCTTTTTAGTAGCTGCTGTTAAATAAAACCAGTCTGAACCCTGTAGTCTGATCGCCAGCCAATGTTATTTCATATGTTATAATTTAAAAGAAAATTTTAGCGTTACTTAGAGATAATCAGAAATAATTGTATGAATGCATGCTGTTCTTGATCGGGGCAACACAAAAAAAAGAAAAAAACACGAATTTACAAGATCGTGGTTATTTATTCTGTACTGTGTAGTCTGCATGGACATATACTTGTTATTGAAATGTTACAGTTTTTGAATGATATTTGGCTATACCTTGCATACAATTCTTGTTTATTTTTATTTTTAACACTTAAAATTTGATTCTCATAACATTTTGGAGTCAGATTTTATTATATTTTTGATGTAACATAATATATTTTGGCTATATAAATGTAAATAAGAATGTTTAGGTGTGGAAAGATTCATTGTGCAAGTTTAAATGCCTTTTAATTTTTGCCATATCAGGCAACATAAATATTAGTAAATGAACAATTTTTTCACATTATATCATTAAAAAAGAAATTTAAAAAAATTGACAAGTTTATGACCAGTCATTCATTATGATCTTAAATTATTCAATAGGGTGAAATTTTAATTTCTTCAGGAGGCAGGCCGCCAGAATATCTGAGAGTTACGCCTTCAATTTCATGTTAAGCAATTATCCAAAAAAGGATTTGTAGATCCATACATTGCACCAATTGATTAAAAAATGTAAAAACTATCTCTAAATTTACTTGCACAACGCTCGATTAATTGAGTGGTAAAATCTAATTTATTCTTAAAACCGAAACAACGATTTTATTTCAAAATCATACTTCTTTCGTTGTTATTGGAAAATAAAACCAAATAATGTATACTATTTTGTTCATCATGTGAATTTTTGAAATATATGGTGGATATAATAAATAAGAAAAAATCCTGCAAAAAGGTAAAACACATTTTGAGTACATTTATTAGATCTGGAAACATTTCTAAAAATTTAAGCTTAATAAGTTGGACGCATGCAACGCTACTTCAATTATGAAAACATAACAAATGAATACAAAATGAATTATTTCCAAATCAATTAATTTTAAGAGTTTACAGAACTTTGATATTACTGAACAAAAGCTGACAAAAAAAATCTAACTCTAATAGCTACTGCGACAATAACAATTAAAAGCCAATATTCATAATCCTTCAAATCAATTAATATCCTGATTTTTATAAAATCGCCGAGGAACATCCTGAAGAAAATACAATACCGGGCTACCTCACTCTCAATAACAACACATTGGAGTACTGAATCTGGATCATCAAACATTGTCCATGAACTGTAATCAATTATACTTATTAAAAAAGAAAAATCGAAAAGAGAATTTGTATCATTACGATCCAATTAAAAAAAATGACATCCACAGATGTTGGATTAAATATTCTTTAATTATTCAAATAAATACGTACTGAAACTAAATTAGAATAATTTCATTTTATTGAACTTCAGAAAAAGTAATGCTCAACTCGATTCCCAGTTCATTTTACATAATAATACAATAATTTATGATTGAGTTTAATCATCTAACAAAAATGACAATTTCATGCATGCAATTTGGGCATTACTCAAATAAAAATCAACCTCAACTAGCACATGAAACCGATTAATTATTTTAATCTGGATTCAGTTTGACGCATTGCAACAAAAGTTTGAAATCTGGTTATTCACTGTTCAGTGAACAGCACGTCCTGCACAATGCTATGGTATTATACGCATATTCACTCAATGAGTTCTATATTTACGAATAAATTTGATCTTACAATCTTCATTAAATATATATAGATACATACATCCAAAGTGACATGCTAGGAAATTAATGTTCGACACAAGTAAAAGTTTACATTCACACCACAATCATTTTGCATTTACATACCTAACACCTAAAATTTGATATAAATGCCGTAAATTATGCATGAAAATATGCTTTTAAAAGAATGAATGATGTTAAATTTGAAAATTTAGGTATTAGGCATGTAAAAAAGTATAAATCACATTGTATATTGTAAATGGCTCTCTCTAATGAAGTTAAGAAAAGTTTTGGCTTAAATTAACGAGGATTTTCATACTTACTGGTCTCTAATGAAGTTAGTCATTTGACCTCAAACGATTGAAATTGTAACCAAACAGAAATAAAACAAATTAAAAAAACTAGAACAAATAAACCCTAAATTTGCATCCCCTATGAAAGCTAGAAAATGTAGGTGGGGAACAGGACTCAGAATATGGGTGGTGATATATCAGGATGGTCGGCAAGGCATATTAGCCATTACGACGAACGAGACCTGTAATCCTATAAATCATCATAGCCCTGCTCCCTCAACCAAACACAAGACATAAGCAGGAAATGTTTTGGAAGATATATGAATATAAAGAGTACGATTTAGTGAGAGCATAGTAATCTTGTTTATTTGAAGATTGCAACAATATCAGTATGCTAAGAGATTCATCTAATTCAACGTAAAATTGAATTGAAATGATATGTTTCCTACTAGAAATAAGAATTGGAAATAATATAAAACAGAAAAAATTCCATTGTCTGATTAGAAAAATAAACTAATGGGAGGTCATCAGATAGGAGCGAAAGACAAGAATTTACTCAGCAATCTCATAAGATTATCATTTGAACTATGCACAAATCATCACATGACCATTCCCCATTGGCTTTCTTCCTAAAATTTTATGCTTGGTTAGGAAACAAAATAATTAAAATTTGCATCAAAGACATAATAAAACACAGATGTGTCTCAGAAGGAAGGCAGTAGTATAGCTGTAATCACTATAACTCAGATCAACTAAATGAAGTTAAGTCCTCATCATTGGCACTATCAAGGCTTAAAACAAAACAAAACAAAACAAAAAAAACAGTTGAACTCCTAGAGCTTCAATAATGTTTAAATCAAGAAAGCAGAAAAAATTTAAAAATTTCATGAAGCCTCATAGAGAAGATTAGACTTCTTCCACAAAAATTTTCAGACATATGCTTGTCATTAATGAACTTAATCATTGGCTTCAGATCAAGGAAATTGGAACCAAAGAATTTCAAAACCTGAAAACTAAAAAAGATAACTGCAAAAGCAAAAACAGAATTCCCCTTTTTTTTTTATCAAAGAAAAAAGGGAAAGCAGGAAGCAAAACAATCAGGAAACAAAAGAGATAAATGTAATATAATAATGTTCCTAATCAATCAGTAGCAAACATTCTTTTATGCGGCATTTTGAAAAAATGATGGTTGTATGCAATGCTTAAATTATTTTTATGTACGTTTTCATAACAAATTAAAATTAACTAAACATCCAATAGGAGTTCCAGTCCAACATCAATCATCTCACTTGCACTTGCACTCGTTAGAAAACTGATAAGGATATGAACTGAACATAAAAATGGAGCCTTTCAGATGAAAAAGAAACCAAATTTAGCAAACAAACAAACAAAAAAACCCATAATTGAAGCATTGATGCACTATTCAACAAAAGGAAATTTTTAACAAAGAAAATAAAAATAGCAAGTTACACAAATACCCAAGTTCAGTACTATGCAGAAAAATAAGTAGTAGATTCAGATTCACTAATTGAAACATCCTCTTCGTAAAGCTTATAGCCGCAAAACAAATTGCTATAAGCTGTCCTTGCATTCAACTAATTATTTTGACCTCTGACGCATCTTTCGGCGCTTCCTCTTAAGCCTCCTCATTCGCTTCTTCTTCCACTGAATGATGATAATTGTAAAATATGTAATTAATAATACAGAAAAGAAAGTAAAATTTGTAGAAAAATACAAAGTGAAAATAACAAGAAAATTACATAAGACAAAAAAACTTCAATTGAAATCATTAATCCCGTAAAAAAGTTACGGTAGACATAAAAAAAAAAACTGCTAAAAGATTTATGGAAATAGAAACTAGAAATTGAGTAACAGAAACCCTGCCCAGCAATAAATGAAAGGAAGATCAATGATTAAAAAAACAAAATTTCACGCTGCTACCCAAAATGATAATAGTTGGACAGAACGATAGATTTACATAAAATCAAAAAATCGACAGATGCAGTCCTCCGAAAGGGACAGGACAAACAAACAATTATATTTTCTACAGAAATGGAAGCTAAGAAGAGTCGGAAAAGATCAGTAAAGCGCAACCTAATCCAAGTGAAAACATGGACGAGAAACAAATAGATCTGAAATCTGAGAATAATTCACGCGATGCCTTACCTTCGCCCTCATCTTCTCCCTATCAAATCGGAGTCCTCGCCGACCGCTTCCTCTCGCTATTCGACAGCGGCAGCTAGGTCCTGATCTCGAATTTATACACGGTCGCGGCGCAAGAAAACCCTAATTCCATTACAAAGGGCATTTTAGCCATTGCGTTTACTAGATTTTTTTACTGCGTACGTAAAATTCTCTAAACATAAATGAGTTTATAGATTTTAATAAAAAATACGATATAATTGAATATATTTTTTAAAAATTATATGATGAAGTTCACTTAATAATAAGAAAATAATAATTTGAATCCTATTTGATACTTTCATCACTCATATACCTCATAGCTACCATTAAATGATTAATTTATTGAGTTTTTTAAAAGCTCTGGGTAAAAAAACTACGTTTGTACATTGAAATTTTCGCTAAACTTTTTTCTTGAACCAAACCGTCCAGTTGAAATTACAGAATCAAGCACACCTATTGATGTGTCTGAGTCATGCTCAATTATCGAAGTGGTTGAATCAAGCTCACATATCGATTTAATTGATTCTCATTTTTCTCAATAAAATCGCTTAGCTTATCTATGTTAGGGCGATTATCAAGAAAAATAATCATGAATGATAAAATTGTTTGTCAATTCCTTGTTAAAGACATCGCCTGACACTAGGAAATAGGGGCATCTGTGAATTTCCTCATTAAAAACGCACATGAAACTTAGATTCTAACCTTTCACCCAGGTATTATAGACACTCATCATACCAACAATATCCGACATCAACATTACAATTTTTCTATTAAGATGCCATAGAAAGGCATGGTGCACTGTATAGTGTACAAAAGCTGATTATTTTATAACATTTCTCTCTAGTGCAACCCTCTGGCTTCCCCGGGATCTAAAATCAATATATTTCTTAAGGCTCATTTAGATAGATATGATCTAACTCTCTCTCTCTCTAGCACTCTCACTACGATATAAGGTCTTTTGTAGGGTTGTATGTACTCAAGAACTATACAATACACTACATTCTAAAAGGATTCAACATATTGAAAGGTGTGGTGTGCATGGATTTCATGCACAAACTCTATTACAAAAGGCCCTCATCATTCAAGGAATGTTTTCATAGAACCAAGGACCGCACTAGAGAGTTCTTGACTTTCAAATCAATGAGTCGAGAGAATTAATGAGGAAAGAAATTTAAGATATGAGAGAGGCCCCCCGAACCAATTCTCATACTATAACATACATCATATCATTTAGATCAATAATGCGCCACCATGCCTACTGTGGTTAAGAGTTGTCATATCGATAGGAGGCACATCGCAACATGAATTGCCAACACAAGAGGAACCAAGATATGAACAATCAAGGTAAGAGTAGTATGCCCAAGACCAGTCTAGGGCTAGAGTAAGAGGGGCTCTTGACCTGATTTTTGAACAATAAAGACTACGCATTAATGATTTCAATCATTATAAAGAGGAAAGATTCGTCTCCAACTTGATCGGGAAAAGAAAGGAAAAGATGAAGGATTCTCTCAATTATTAACAAGAAGTCAAGAGAGGGATAAAAAGGCAAGGATTAGAAGGCAACCCCTTCTCAAGAGAGATATATGAAGCTGAAGCACTTAGAAAGTTTAAGATTCAAGCTTTGGAATTCTACAAGGGAAAATCTAACCCACCGATCACATGGCTTCCTTCAAAGCTGTTGTATGTCTACTAGGAATAAATTATGCATTGAAAATTTGTTTGTTCTCCGTGACATTGAAAGAACCAACCCTGTGTTTGTTCAACCACCTACCAATATGAGTCATTATCGTCTTCCACGTATTCAAGCAAATGTTCATGGTTTAATTCATCTGTGCGCAAAAACCTCTAAAAAACTCGCAGACACTTATGAAAATACATCAGAAACCAACAGAAAGTTTGAGGAGCTTCATCATTCATTTTCAAGGAGAAATGCAAGGCGTCCAAGACTTCATCACTCATAAGAGAGATTTTCCTTACAAAACCCTTAGACCTAAACCTACAGTTGGAATCTGAATTCCCCAAGCTTTGGTGTTCCCAACCCCCCTTGGAAGGATTAGAATAATTGAATTTTGTAGAATGGAGATAAACTTTGTAGCTAGTCCATTCTATGATCATTGAGAGTTTTCCTTCGAGAAATTATAGGGCAAAGTTCTTCACACCTTTCACCAAAGACGGAGGCGGATATGCCGCGTATTTATATTACCTATGCTAGGGCACTAGGACGCGCATGACGAACTATTGAGCGCTAGCATTCACATTGCTTTATCTGTCTTGTCATAGGAAATGCTTGTGCATTTTTGCTTGTTGTGTGAAACATGTCGGTCCAATCGGTCACCTCTACTCGTCGACCGACCGACCACCTCAGCTCGCTCGATCAACCACTTAGGTCTGATTGACCGCTCTAGCCCGGTCCACCGACCTTCGACCAACGACTTTGGCCCAGTCGATCAACCATTTAAATCCAACCAACCGCCCGACCCAATCGACCAATAACTTAGGTTTGACCGGTCGGCCTAGCTTAGCGGACCCCATTGACCATAACACTCGGTTGACCGTCTCTGGTCAACCCAAGGGGGTAAGTAACCAACGTCACCTGCATGAATGTTTTTGTTGTGCATTCACATCATTTGTATGACAGTGCATGACTTGGTTTACATTCACATATGTGCACATGAATAAATCCTTTTGATGTGTATTATAATAGACACATTTGCATGATTTTTTGCTTTCGGTGTGTACTTATATTATGTGTCTCTTTGAGCGTTGGTATCCGCAATATCTCCCCCACATGTGTCTCACATGTGTTTAGGGCTCGATACTCGCATCCCTTTGGAGTTTAGCGACCAGCTATACTAGTCCGTGGTGTTTGGATTTCCCTCGAGGATGACACACATTTCACCTCTTGTGCCATTATTTGGCTGCCACAAGCTTTGCATGTTGTATACTGAATCAGGGTTATACCTTAAAGCCTCCAAACCCATTGAGCGTGTGACGTCTCTTCATGTTGCTTAATGATATTTCTTCGTGCTTCCTCATGCCCTACTGGAGTAATCACAGTGTTGAACTATGTGTGATGCGCATGCTTTAATAACAAGCCAAACTCAGCAGGCGAGTGACCCTGTGTTAGTTGCGATGCTTTAACAAGCGTTGTTCGCCGGGTAGATCCTGGGGAACAATGCGAGTCAAAGCATCGAGATCGACACAAATATGATTATGCTAAGGATCAAAGAGATCTAAATTGTGTCATGTTGCATGTTACGGGTCTACATTTAATAACCTTATTTTAAAATAAAAAATTTAAATTACTTTTCTACTTAAGATATATATCCTTATTTTAAAACTATGCAAAAAACAAGCTAGATCACATGTAAGACCAACTATTTTCTAAAAAAAATTATCTTATGTGACATTCTTTAGATCCCTTTGATTTTCCAGGATGAAGCCGATAAGACGATCCTGTTAAAGTCATGCGATACCCGAAGATTTGACCCTAGATGAAATAGATAAGGTGGCATAAAAATAAAATTTAAGTTTGAATGTTTGATAGGTAAATCTATAAAAATTAAGTAATATGTATATAAATCTTTCATAAAAAAATCTCTAAAATTTATTCTAAGTACCATGTATAATCTCTATAGCAAGTATTAACTTCTAAAATAAACTGCTTGAAAAAAATTTAAAAACCTTATTATATAAAGAAACACATTTGAGAAGCTATTTGTTTCATCATTTATGATAGCACTCATACTTATTTGTTTTTTAACAAGCTCTTAAAAAAGTGAATAAAGTACTTAGTTAATGGTAGATCGGAGACATATGAGTGATGAAAGTATCGAATCAAAATTTAATTTATTATATTCTTATTAATAAATGTACTTCATCATATAATTTAAATAAAATATAATGAATTATATCAATTTTCTTATTAAATTTATAAATTGAGGGTCTGTTTGGGGCAATCTATTTGAGAAAATTGTGTTTTGGCAGCTTATGAGTTTTAAAAACGCTGAAATCAACGTTTTCACTCCAAATTTATCTAGGCACGGTAGCTGGTTTTTGGCAATGGTCTGACTTTTCAAAAAAATAGAAATTTATAATAGTCACCGCATCTAGCTTATCATAATATTATTTTTAATCAGCTTATAACAAATTATTCAATAAATTTGCAACGGTCAAGTTATAAGTATTTAGCGGATTTTACATACGAGCACACAATTATTATGTAATTACATATATCACACCTAAACTTTCATATTTACGGGCATTACTAAAACACCTTCTGATCGAATTAGGGTTTTCTTGCGCCGCGTTCTTGTATAAATTTGCAGAACAGGACCTAGCTGCCGCTGTCGAAGATTTAGGGCTGGCGAGGATTACGATTTGACGGGGATAAGATGAGGGCAAAGGTGAGACTTCACTTTAATTTATTTCTCAGGTTTCAGATCTATTTCTTTCTCGTCCATGATTTCACTTGTATTAGGTTTCGCACTGCATCTGTCGATTTTAGATTTTATGTAATCTATTGTTCTGTTCAGCTATTTCGTTTTGGGCAGCAGTGTGAAATGTTCTTTTTTCGTTTTTGTTAAATCATTGTTGTAAATTTTCCTTTTTTATTGGACTTTTAGGTAAGGTTTTTGTAACTCAATTTCTAGTTTCTTTTTCCATGAATCTTATAGCAGTTTTTTTTCTTATTATTCTTTTTAATGTCTGCTGCATGTTCTGAAAATCGTCAAAGCTTTCTTGGTGAGAAATAAACTATTGATGTTACGTTTGTTGGGCTGTAATGCGATTATTGGTGGTTTGTTTAAATGGCGACTTAGGTTGATTGCATCTCTTTTATAAACCTAATATTATTTTTTTTTCTTAGTGGATTGCATATCAGAGAGTTTGATAATTCAGTTCATGTCAGGGACGAAGAATCAGGGGTTGAGAGTGATTAATGCTTACCATCAATAATTACATTAAATGGGATGAGAGTGATTGATGCTTACCATCAATAATTACATTAATGTTATTTCAATCAATGTTGTTTCCTTTCAATAAATTAGTGCTAGAATTATGCTATTGTAATTTTTCTTTCCATAAGAATGAGTTATTGCGTATTCCATCCAAAGGTTGTTCGGCTATTTACTAGCTTGAGGTCGATAATGAAGGTCATCCGATAAGTATTATTTTTAACGTTGTGTTGATTGAGAGTGATGTTTTTTCTTGAATTAAGCCAACTAAGGAGACCGAGGATTCCTCGAAGTATCCTACAATATTACCAACATAGGTAGAGCACACAATGACGTTTCTTGTTCTCTACCCATTCACAAACCCGCTACAAGGTCACAATCTGGAACGTAACAACTTGGTATCAGAGCAAGGAATGTCCAACCACCGTCTCGAGCATGTGGAGAATGAGCTTGGCTCATTGGCTACGAGCCAAAAGGAACTACAACAAGCTATGAAAGCTAGTGAAGAACGTCTCTTGAAACAGATGAAGAGCATGTTTGCTCGTTTTTCTACGCGTGTTGTAGGACATGAGGATGATGCCGAGTCTTCTCGCGGGCCCCGTCGTAGCCTTTTGGGAGGAGGCTCTTTCGCACTCAAAATCATTAAGTTGGACTTTCCATGCTATAATGACATGGATGATCCAGCCGGGTGGATTTGTCAAGTGGAGCAATTTTTCGAGTTTCAAGGCATGAAAGAGGCGAAAAAACTCCCCATGGCCGGTTATCATTTGGATGACAATGTCCAATTGTGGTATCAACGTTTCAAAAATTAGCGAGAAGGCATCAATTGGGAAGTTTTCAAGCACGAGTTGCATTTACGATATGCGCCTTCAAGATGCCAAAATTTCTTTGGGGATCTCACCAAGCTTAAACAAACAGGAAGCATCTGCGATTACCAAATAGATTTTGATCATTTGTTACATCGAGTTGGCCATTTGTCTGAAGAACAACAAGTCGGGTGCTTTGTGAGCGGGTTAAAGGATGCAATACGAGTTGATGTGCAAGCATGTAATCCAATTTCATTGTCCGCCGTTATCAGCCTGACACGATTTTATGAGTTTCATATGTATGATCAACAGAAGGGAGGGTACGTGGAACCTCCGAAGGCTTCATCCACCATGGGACATCCACCCTTACCCTCAACATCTCTTACTCGACCTCGTAACCCCATCATTAAGTGGTTGAGTCCGATTGAGTTGCAAGAGAGGAGGATGTGCGGATTATGCTTCAATTGTGACGAAAAATTTTTCCCGGGCCATCGTTGCAAGAAGTTATTCTTAATAGAAGGAATTTTTCCTTCTATTGATAAGCCGTTGGAGGAGACTACCGAAGAGGAAGCGGAAGAAGAGATTCCCGAATTTAGTTTTCATGCTATTTCAGGAAATACAACACCTCAGACCATGCATTTTCTTGGAAAAAATGGAAATTTTGGGGTTATAATATTGGTGGATACCGATAACACATAACTTTTTGAATTCAAAGTTAGCTACCAAAATGAAAATTTATCCTACAAAGAAAGGAGGATTCTCGTTTCAAGTGGCAGATGGAAATAAGATGAAAAGTGAAGGATTGTGTGAAAGGTTCCCTATTTTAGCGCAAAAGGTTCAATTTTATGTAGATTTTTACCTTTTACCAGTGGAAGGATATGATGTTTTCGGAACTCAATGACTTAAAAGATTGAGTCCAATTATTTGGGAATTCAATGATCTATGGATGCGATTTTAGTGGGAGGGGAAAACAATAGAGTTACGTGTGACCAGATGGCCTAGCAATAAAATCATGGCTGATCGTGATCCAGAGGAGCAGTTGTGAAAGGAAAATTACAATAGCATAATTCTAACACTAATTTATTGAAAGGAAACAACAGTGATTGAAATAACATTAATGTAATTATTGATAGTAAACATCAATCACTCTCATCTCATTTAATGTAATTATTGATGGTAAGCATCAATCACTCCCATTTCATTTAATGTAATTATTGATAGTAAGCATTAATCACTCCCATCAAGTTGTTATGTGCCAGAGTTTGCGACCTTGTAGCGGTTTTGTGAATGAGTAGAGAACAATGATCGTCCTTGCGTTCTCTACCTATGTTGGTAATATTGTAGGATACTTCGAGTGATCCTCGACCTCCTTGGTTTAATTTGAGAAAAACCACAACTCCCAATCAACATAATGTTGAAAATAATACTTAATACTTATCATGATCTTCATTATTGGTCTCAAGCTAATAAATGGCCGAACAACCTTTGGATGGAATAGGCAATAACCCATTTTTATGGAAAGGAAAATTACAATAGCATTATTCTAGCACTAATTTATTGAAAAGAAACAATATTGATTGAAATAACATTAATGTAATTATTGATGGTAAGCATCAATTACTCACATCTCATTTAATGTAATTATTGATGATAAACATTAATCACTCCCATCCTCTGATTCTTGGTCCCTGACACATTAGAAGAACGTAAATTTAATTATCTACAGAATGATGATGAGAATTGTATTTTTATTTCTAGTTGTAGAATATAATACAACATTCACTGCTTGAATGGGTAGAGAACAATGATCGTCCTTGCGTTCTCTACCTATGTTGGTAATATTGTAGGATACTTCGAGTGATCCTCAGCCTCCTTAGTTGGTTTAATTCGAGAAAAAACACAACTCCCAATTAACATAATGTTGAAAATAATACTTATCAGATGATCTTCATTATTGGTCTCAAGCTAATAAATGGCCGAACAACCTTTGGATGGAATAGGCACAATAACCTTTTTATGGAAAGGAAAATTACAATAGCATAATTCTAGCACTAATTTATTGAAAAGAAACAATATTGATTGAAAGAACATTAATGTAATTATTGATGGTAAGCATCATTTACTCCCATCTCATTTAATGTAATTATTGATGATAAGCATTAATCACTCTCATCCCCTGATTCTTGGTCCCTGACACATTAGAAGAACGTAAATATAATTATCTACAGAATGATGATGAGAATTGTATTTTTATTTCTAGTTGTAGAATATAATACACCATTCACTGCTTGAATATGGTCAAATCAGACCTAGAATTAAATGAAATATTGCATTTAATCTTAGTAGAAATGCAAGAAATGGGGTAATTATGATATTATGTAACTTTGTTTTAAATTATTGGAAATTGTCTGATGATTAAGGATCATTGTTTGAATCCCATATAATCACAAATGATCTTGAGATGTTTTGCTAATGACCTAATTTAGCTGGTGGAAAATATCATTGAGTTTTTACTAGTTTGGAGAGGGATAATGTTAAAATTCGAACTCTGCATAGTTCATGGGGCTTTTACTTCAATTTATGCTCCTATATAAAAATAATATTTTTGGAAGCCTGGAGGTGAAATAGATGCCCTAAAGTTGAACATAAAAGAAGTCAATAACCAAGTCAAAAATCTACAATGGATGTGGTAAGACTGGAAATAAGTATAGCGATAAATAGTCATGTAACTGGTGGTGATGAAAGTGCTATCTATTGATGAAAAGATAGTGAAAGTAAACATCAATTAGTGCAGCTCATTTTTGTATATAAGTAATGATTTTACAAGGTTTGTAATTTGAAATATTTTGGAATGCTTTTCAAAACTATTCTTTGCTATTAATAAGTTATCCAGCCCTTTAATTTTAGCAGCTTATTTTGTTTGAACACCATTGGTTGTGTTCAGTGCCTCAATCAATGGTAGTCATATTGCCTCGAGATCATCTGATTCTCAATAACCTTTGGTCTAAAATTTTTGGTACGGGGATTAATGATTTTAATTATTGTTAACCTTCTTAAATTGAAGTTTTTTTTTTCTATTATGTAATTTTTAAAATTTTTATTTTGTAGTTTTCTACAAATTTTACTTGCTTTTCTGTATTATTAATTACATATATTCCACTTATCATCATTCAGTGGAAGAAGAAGAGAATGAGGAGGCTTAAAAGGAAGCGCCGAAAGATGCGCCAGCGGTCTAAATAATTGGTTGAATGCACGGAAAGCGTATATCAATTTGTTTTGTTGGTATAAGCTTTTCGAAGAGGTTGTTTTGAGTAGTGAATCCTGAGTGTCTGCATTAAGAAATATTTGAACTTAGATATTTGTTTAAGTTGCTATTTTGATTGTGTTAAAAAATCTCTGTTGTTGAATAGCTTGCATCAATGCTTCAATTATGTTTTTTATTTTTTATTTTTTTGTTTGTTTGCTAAACTTGATTTGCTTTACATCTGAAATGTTCCATTTTTATGTTTAGTTTATATCAGTATTAGTTTTCTAATCAGTGCAAGTGTAGCGAACTAATTGAAGTTGGACTGGACCTTCTATTGGATGTTTAGTTAATTTTAATTTGTTATGAAAACACACATACAATATAATGAAATCATGCATATAATCATTATTTTTCTCAAAATGCTGCACAGAAGAATGTTTGCTTCTGATTGATTAGGAACTTTATTATATTGCATTTATCCTCTTTTGTGTCCTGATTGTTTTGCTTTCTGTTATCCCTTTTCTATTTGATTCAAAAAAAGAGTGGAAATTTTGTTTTGCTTTTTGCAGTCATTTTTTTCGGTTTTCATGTTTTAAAATCTCTGGTTCCAATTTCCATGATCTGAAGCCAATGATAAATTTCGTTAATAGATAGCTGCCTAAGATTCTTAAAACAATCTATTTTTTTAAATCTCTCATCACAATAGATATCTGCCTAAGATTATTAAAGAGAAATTTAAGAACTTAGAAGCATGCAAGTTTTGAATCCCGATTCTTTGTGAATCACACCCCAAAGAAGAGAGAGAGAGGGAGAGGTAATAAACTGTAAATCATATTAATCGTGTTTACCTTTCTCTTCCTTTTTTGTTAATTTGGCTCTTTCTTGTTCAATAAATAATCTTTCTATATATAGGAGAGTACAATATGGTGATATTATAGTTTTGCCCATGCTTTAATAGAAGTTGTAAAGGGTATTTTTAGTATTTTATATGTATGAGTTTATCGTTCGGTTGTTCTCTAGTTCGATCGTTTGAGCTTGTTTTGCTTTGGTTCGATAGAGCCGGTTCGGCCAGCTAGGCTTAATTGGTGTTGTCAGTCAACTGGGCTTGATTGGCCTCAGGCCAACAAGAGTGGTTCAGTCGTCATAGTTTGTCTGGCTACCAACTCTTGATAATATATAAGGGAGCTTTTGGTCATCCCCGACATGATTGAAGATTTTGAGAGTCTAGGTCCTCCTTGGAGTCGATTTCTTCATGTTAGTTGGTTTGGATGTTTTTTTGTCTCATTTATGATCGAATCTCAAATATAATCATTCAATCGTCTTTTGTAACTCGGTTGGCTTTGGCCTTGCTGCTTTTGTTTGGGCTACTGCATTTGATCGGATAAGTGTCTCATGATCTTTTATTAGTGACTCATCTTTCATTGTAATCTTGTTAGATCTTCTTAGGATTTACACTGACATATTTTTTATGTATATATTTTTCACTGATTATCTTCTTGAAAGCGACATTACAATAAGAATAAAACCATTTAATGCAAAATGTCGGTATCATTCATTCTTAGTCAATAATTTAATTATTGAACTTCCTTAATTTTCTTAATTTTGATTCTTATAAATAAATTGTGACATAACTTTGTTTTTCATATTTGAGGGAAAAGTTTGGAACATATCTCGATATGAGATGATAAAACGAGATCAAATAATTATGCAAATGAATTGATTTTACATAGTGGGGTCAGCTATATGAATCCTTTTTTTTCTATTGTGTCCTGTTGAGTGTCATAGTTTCATTTAATTCTAGTAAATTAAGATTATTTTTTATACAATATTCTCAACTCTTCTTAGATTTACCTTACCTTTCTTAATATAAGTCGAATTTAAAGCATCTACTCTCTTAACAAAATCATCAGATGGTCGATGTTTAATGTGACCAAACCATCTGACGACTCTCTTATCTTTTTTTGCCATTGGAGCTACAACAACTCTTTCACGGATATATTTGTTTTATATTTGTCTCTAAATGTCAAATCGCTCATCCATCTAAGCATTCTCATCTTAAGAACTCTCTTTTAAGGCTAACATTCTACATTATAAAGCATTGCAAGTCTCACGGCTATCTTATAAAACTTTCCTCAAGTCTAAATGATAGTTTTTTATCACACAATATTCTCGACGCATTCCTTCACTTCAACCATCCAACTTGAATTTTAGTAATAGTATTCCTATCTATGTCACCATCATTTTTAACAATAGACCCGAGATATCTAAAATGTTTGCACCTTTTAATGATTTGATCGCCCATTGTTACAACATTGCCACTAGAACTACTATTATTAAAATTACATTCTATATATTCAATTTTAGATTTACTGAGACGAAGGTCTTTAGACTCTAATGTAGACCTCCATAATTTAATTTTTTCTCACTCTCTCTACTTTTATCCGTAAGAAAAATTTTATCAGAGAAGCATACACAAGGTACATCATCTTGTAAATGTCTAGTAAAGGGCATCCATAACAGAAGTAATAAATATATGGGCTTAAAAGCCAATCCTTGATGAAATCCAATTATATTGAAATAGGAAAATACTTATAAATCCTCCTCTTATTCCACAGCTAACAATTTTTATTTTTTTAAGTTTTTTCTTTTGATATTGTAAGTACATTTACCACTTGTTTAAAAGTGTGCTACTTTATTGCAAAGTAAGCTTCTTCATGAACATCTCCAATCTTAAATGAAGTCTGCTTATAAAAATAGTTTTTATTGTAATTTTATTGTCTTTTAGGTGCCACATCTAATTCTATGATAATATTTAATTATATTTTTCATATCCAATCCTTTATCTTAAAATTCAGAACTAAATTTTCACTTTGAATAACCAAAGAATCTTTAAATTTTTGATAATCTATTTTTTTCATAAGAAAATAATAAATTATGTCTTAATAGATCTATTCTTATAAGTAATATTATGTTATATTTATTTAAATGAATTATTAGCAATAACAAAATCATAAGTTAAAAAGTACGATCTGATTTGGTTATAATCATTAAACACTCAACTATAAATATTTTTAAAATCTGCTACAACTCTAGCAACATGTTTATTTAAATTTTCTACAATATTTTTTTCTCAGCTATTATTTCTCCTAGTTCATTCCAAATCTTTTCTTTTGAACCTATATCTAAACCTACTAACCACTTATGACATTAAAAATCTCAACATTAACAACAATCTTTAAGGCTATAATTTTGTCTCGAATTCTAATAGTTTTTTTATAATATTATATTTCAAACTCTTATCTATAATTACACCTATACTACTAGTGTAAGTTCTACTTAAATACTAAAATTTAAAGAGGCTTTTACATACATCACTCAAAAATTTCATATTTATCCCACCCTTAAACTTCAAAATTTCAAACATCATATGAAAAAAAATACTCAATATCATAATCAAATTCATATTTTCATTCATAGATAAAATTCTATGTGGGTAAAAATGAAAGTTTAGATGTGAGAGGTAAATATATAACAATTGAATGCTGTGAATTTCATTAACTTTTTTTTTTCAATCTATTTGATTTTTTGAATGCACAAGATATATATCTTCTTGCAAACCATAATATTTATTATTTTTCTTAATTTATTCATGAAAATACCTATATTCTAATATTCTATCCTAATATAAATTTCATGAACTAATTCCTAAGCCATCCGAGCTTCAAGGCAAGCAGCCAAACAAAAAAACCTCTGCTTTAATAAAACTCTCGTCATAGCCGGATAGCTGCCTAGGATTCTAAAAGTGATATTTAAGAACATGGAAGCAAGCAAGAGAGTAGGAAGACAATTATATATATATTTTTATTCATAAATCAAACCATCCATCCATCCACTCCTGTAAATACAAGCTTAATTTATGCGCAAATTACATACATAACACCCGAACCATTGCTACTAACAAATCTAACACCTAGTTGATTTTTATGCATTTTTCATGTTTCCACGATCAAGAATCAGAAATGGAGATTTATATATATATATATATATATATATGAATTGAGATTTTATCACGAAATTTGGTATTTGACTTGAGTTGAAAAATGGATGAAAGAGGCTGCTTGATTTGTAAATAGCAACATTTCAGGTGCTATGTAATTACCCCAAAATTTAAACATCCACATTTCACTGGAACTCATAAGAATAAAAAAAATACTCAAATAAGCAAAATCAATCAAGAAAAGCAGGTTTGAAACTTTCAACTTCTGTAATTAAATAATTCTCTGCTATTATTGACTTTCACCCCAAAAAAAAAAAAAAAAAAAAAAAAAAACATTTAATTGCACAGAAGAAGGGACTCAACCATAATCCATTCCTAGTCCTGAATGTCCTCATCCAGGACAAATTAAATTATACCATGCCTGAAAAAATTGAAAGAAAAAAGAAAATAACAACACAAAATGTGTCAAGAAGACCATGGGGTGCCTTATTTTGTGATCTTAATTTAAAATAATAATAAAAAAAATTTGTTGCTGCAATACTAGATTTAGAGCAACATTGAGGTAGGATTTTCTATATAGCCCTTGAATGCCTTGAGCCACTCTGCTCCAATTGCACCTGCAACATAAACCAGAGATTTGCACAAGTTGTTAATTATAATGAGATTGAAATTTAGTTTCGATGCATTCAACACATACCATCAACCACACGATGATCACAGCTCAACGTGACTGCTATGAATGAACCGAATTCAAATTGGTCGGGACTTGAACCGGGTATCACCCTCCTCTCAGCTGCTCAAGAAAAAAATAATCTTTCAACATTAACATTGTTCTAGATTCTATGATTACATAGAGGTGACAATATTTGTGAGGTTTTTCCATGTGGTCAAGAACCATAAGAGGTCCATATTTATGTGATATTTAAAATGGAAAACAATCATTATCCAGTTGTGTAAGAAAATAATAATAAGATAATTACATTCATACCACTCAAAACATTGTTATTTACAAAAATATAACCAGTTGTGATTTTATTGGACAACAAAACTTATGCATTTGTGTGTGCTACGATCAAATAATTGAGAATTTGATAAAAATGAAAAAAAATATGTATAGGGATTTTATCATGAATTTTGATATTTGAGGGAATTGAAAAAATGGATGACAGAGAGTGAGAGAATTGTAAATAGTAAGTGCTGTGTGTGCAATTGCCCGAAAAAAAATAAAATAAATAATAAATATAAATTTGAAGTTGCAAGCTCACCAGAGCCCACAGCCAGAATGCATGATTGTGGGGGATTTATTATAGCACAGAATTGTTTTATTCCAAATGGACCTCCCAAGTTTGAGACTGTAAAAGTGCCACCCTGAATAAAAGCAACTCCATTAAAATACAGTAAACACATGATCCTAAGCTTCATGGCGAATTACTGAATGGATCCACACCTCATATTCTTCGGGTTTCAGAGTATTTTCTTTGGCTTTTTGAGCCAAATTCTTCACCTCTTCAGCAATTTTAGATAGTCCCTTTTTGTCTGCATCCTGCAAAATCATTTCTGTATTAGAAGAGCAAAGAAACTGGAACAAAGGAGCTGATGACCACGGTGTATAACGAGAAATTTACATACCTAGCACGCAATTTTCATGTATTTACATATCTCACACCAAAGCTTTCCTATTTACATATTTAGCACTTTGATGCTTTAAACCAATGTATGCAATCGTGTATTTCACATTTAAAAAGTGCTAATAGTGCTATTTTTTATGTCATTATTAAGGATTTGAGTGATGCGTGAATATGAAAGTTTAGGTGTGAGAAATATAAATGCATAAGAATTGTGTGCCATGCGTGCAAATGCCTCGTACAGAAAATACCTTGATAACCGGCACAAACAACCCATTATCGGTTTGCACGGCAACGTTAATATTCACATTGTGGTACCTGCATTAGTATAGTCAAAGTCATTATCTAGACAAATAACTCTCTGAACTCATCAATACTATGACAACAATGACTTACTGGCGGATGAAGTCGTTCATCCAGGAACTATTACATTGAGGAACCTTCTTAAGAGCCAAAGCAGCAGCCTTAGCAAAAGAAAAGAGAAGAAATCAACATATGAAAGCTATATTCGTAGAAGAGAAATAAGCCTCATTTTAGCTCTTAAGAAGGGTATAAGTAGACCTAAAAAGACTTGAGCATATAGTAGAAAAAATGCTCTTCATTTATTAGAATTAAATGAAAATGTGACACTGAATAGGATACATGCTTGTTGTTGTTGTTGTTGTCTAGCTTCCGAAACTTTTTATTTTGAAATAGACGAACAGCGCCAGTTTATTTTCGCGATTGGCAGTGAGCAATATTGAACTTATTGGAAGGTCTGGAGGAATAGATCGTCCCAAAATGCCAAATAGCATGAAGCAACATCTAACTTGCTTTCACTACAACAGTGATAGCTATCAATTTTGGTCTGATCTTTTCATCAGTGCTAAGAAAGAAAATGAATATTCGCAGAAAGTATAGAGTATAAAAGTCAGAAAGACAGTAATATATCGAAAAATTTCTATAATACTGAATATTACTAGAAATAGTTTCTTCAGCATATAATTTATCTGTCAAAAGATCTTAAAATGAGTTCTTTTCGAAAGGTTCCTGAGTTTCAATCTAAAACCAATATCTAGGTTTCATTCAGGTTGTTCTATGATATTCTTCTGTTTTTATTAAAAGTTTTTTTTCAAATTACAATTTCAATTATAATTTCTCAAAAGCAGCTTTTCTAAATAAAAAATTTAGAAAAAAACTGAAAAATTGTAATCCAAATGACCTGCTTTTTGTTGGCTATTTTCCCGCCACAAAATTGATAAAAAAGCTGTTTAGTAAATTTGAACAATTATTTACAGTTTATATATGGTTGGCATCTAAAATTTAACAAGAACTCGTTAACTACAATCATAATTATGTTGCAGAAGTTGACATTAGTTCATAATCCGCCTAAACAGAATTTTTTATCCCGGGCACTAATGAGAAATTAACTATAAGAAAGATAGAAAGTGTATATGAAGAAAAATGCATGAAAATTAAACATCCTAGAAAACTTTGATATCACTCCCAGTTTTAAGATAACTGACCCAGCTTAATGCAATAAACCATCAACTAAATGCCTTTGAAAACACCTCTATTTACAACTTGTTTTTCCATCCGATACATCATTTGAACATTTTCATAATCTTTATATCGTCACAATATAGTTTCATAGTTGCACAAAACTTTCAATCGCTTGTGCCTTACATAATCTTTCAAGTAATTATCGAAATTAATAGCATATTTTCCTGTGAAGTTACATATTTTTGCACAAGTTTATTGCATCTTTTTATTCCATGCTACCTTTCCGTTAAAAATCTCAAATCATAGAATACTGCAAAATAACAAGCTGCAATCTTTCTCTTATTCAATATAAGAGTGCAATTTAAAAGGCGTGCAAACTTATCCTGCATCATTCACATTTGCCCAAACCAGATTGGCACCATAGGAGTAGCACATGTGAGATTCGATTTCAGTCAGAGAAAGTAACAAATTTATTAAGAAAAAAACCTTGATAATGAGGTCATTGACAGAAATACGTTTCCCTCCAGAAGATTCTTGCAGAGAATTAAGTTCGCCACGTAGCCTGGGAAGAGATGACGGAGAATGATTAGTTCTCTTCTCAATTGAGTAAACTGTCAAAATAGTCCCCTGCCTATTTACATTTGACCATTTTAATCCTAAAATCTATAGAAGTGTCAACTTAGTCCCAGACTCTTTTAATGAGTACTGAAATAGTCCTTCTTTGGTACTATTTTAACTCTTATTAAAAGAAGTTGGGGATTAAATTGACACTCTTATATAATATGGAACTAAAATGGCCCCATCAAAGAGTCAAGGAACCATTTTGACTTTTTTCTAGTTCTCAATTACAGCTACACTATTACAAAAGGTTCATACTGCAAAAGTTTGTCAACACGAGTATCTACTGTGAGATAGTAATGGGGAATAGTTTGCTTGGAAAGCAGCAAACGTGAAGCAGTTACCTGGAAAAAGTACAACTAGAAATTAAAAATAAAACCAAAACCTATCCAATTAAGAGTTAAATTGAAGAAAACACTGAAATTGGAAAAAACAAATAATTACTTTTCTTATCTGGGAATTCGGTATGTCAGAATAGTTCAATGCTTGAACCTTTCCTGAGACCTCTGCCTTAGCGTGTGGCACAGTCTTAGCTGTGGATGCTGCATAGCATACAATTCAACATCAAAAGGGCAGAAACAGGTAGTAAATTATATAAAGCAATGGAAGAATTACAAATATACCATTCAGTTGTTATATATTTACATATCTAACACCTAGATTTCAAGAGTATTTCATTTTTTTTAAGTTAAAATAGTGGTACTTTTGATGTGATGTGAAAAATTTCGGTTAATTCCCGTGAAGGAATTCCACTTTGCAGATTGAAAATTACCAAAAAAAAAAAAAGGAAATCATAGGTGCAATCCGAAAATGTACACAAACTCAAAGTGTGTCAGCGCTGAAGCAAAAAATGTTCTTTTATCAACAAAACACAATTAGCAAAATTAGAATATTCTAAATTACAGAAATAAATATGAAAGTTACTAAAATTGAAACCGACTTTCCTACAAGAAGTCATGCTTTTCCATGCTTCAGAAGGCTTTAAGCTGGACCTCTAAGGGAATGAATTTCTGAAACTTTTAATCTCCTCATTAGTTTATCACGGTATTATAAAAAAAAACAAATAAGAAAATAAGTGGATGTCTATTTAGGCATGTGGCTTTTTTCCACCTTGTAATGTATTGCACACATTTCTAATGTCAAAAGATAAAAATGTGGCCAAAGTTTCATTATTAAGCGGGACGATTTGCTGAGAAAAAAATACTCTGACCAATCAATCATAACTGTTTTATGTTCCCAGAAGAAACTGAAACACATTAATAAGCCCCAAAAAGTTTTCCTTCCATTCATATGAAAACTCAACTTTACATACAGCTGAATAAATCTACAACTTTCCATGGTATTTTTTTTATCTTTCAATACCACACAGAAAAGAAAAATCGCATTGCAAGAACTAAAAAGCTATATTTGAGGGTATGACAAGATACATTCCTTTAGTCACTTTATCATTCAAAGCTCAATTGAGTGCAGGCAGCCAATGGCTCATATTGTTGATCTTACATCTCATTCACATACAACCCATTTTGCAAAAGTCCTATAATTATTATATTTCTTACTGTTGTCTTTTAATTTCACTTATTTGTTTCTTGTTCTCATTAAAAAATTATGAATCAATATAATTTTAAAACATAATATTAAAATCCTGAAACATTAGAAGGCCAAAGTAATTTGAAAATACTATGATAATATTCTCATCAATTTTCAATTAAATTCTATTAAAAATAATTGTGAAAATAAAGAATATCACGTCTAAGAACTTAAATTTTTAAAATTATGACAATGCTTTCCCTCTTTGAATCTAAAAAAAAGAACATCATTTCAAATTGGAGCACTCACATACCATTATTTTCTCTCTCCTCAAGTTTCCTTTATATAACTTAATGATTAAGGATGTAATACATGACTTGGCATAAAGCCAGCATTCAACACTAGCATTGGAGTAACAAAAATATCCCAACTATTGGGTGTCATCATCATTAACCTCACTTTGTCACTCATTTCTATTATGTAATTAAATCCGGATTAAACTAACCATTTTGCACAATTTATAGACATAATAATATTTTCAATCTACCATTTTCCTTCCTACTCCATTCAACAGTGTTTTCCCTAGCTCTACAATTCCACAAAAGTTCTCCAGCCACCTTAATGCTCTGAAATTGGCATAAACCGTGGATGCCTTTTATTAAAATTAATGTAGATGATTGTTGGAATGCTTTATCTGTTAGCGTAGGTGGAGTTTATAGAGATTCTTTCGGCTCTATTATTTGTTGGTTCTCGGCAGGAGTATTTTCCGATTCTCCTCTAGTTGCTGAAGCTGATGCTTTAGACTTTGGTCTCAGGTGGCTATTTATTATGGTTAAAAATATATTATTATGGAAACTGATTCCTTGATTCTATGGAAGTGTTGTCAATTACAGATTGATTATCATTGGAGTATTAATATGCAGATGAGAAAGATTATTGCTCTATCCAAGCATTTGATTATCTAGTGGTCTCATACTAAGCGAGAAGGTAACAAGGTTGCTCATTGGCCGGCTAAATATGGATTGAAGTTGAATGGTGCTATGGTTTCTAAGATTGTTCCTCACAATCTGTTGTTGGTAGCTTTAAAAGATATTGGTTAGTTTTTGAGTCCCTTTGGATGTTTATCTGCTTTGGTGTACTTTTTTATTTTTGTTTGGTTTATTTGTTTTGGTGTACTTTTTTTATTTTTTGTTTGGTTTTGTGTGTTTGAATCTTTGTTGTGTTTGTGGGGTGGGTGAGTTGTATTTTCAAGTTGGAGAGATGTTCTTTTTTATTTTCTTTTGTGTGATTGTAAGGTGTGTGTGTTGGGACATCTTTCCCGGGCTTGTATTTTTTCTTGTGAAATAAAATAAGAGAGGATAATGCTCTTTTATAAATAAATAAAAAAAAAAAACTACCCATACAATTCATTAGCCATTCAAAGCCTTGTTTGGGGCAAGCATGTGCACCAAACAATTTGTGCATAAGAGGGTGGTTTTCTCATCCTCTCATGCATAAAAGTCATTGCAAATATGAGCTAGGTCAAATTTCTATAGCCTTATCATCAAACGATACTCATCATACTATTATTATAAACAACTTAAAATTTCAGATTTTATTTCATATTCAGCAAAGCTTTTGCGATAGTATATCACCAGATCAAAACTCAGCCTTCCACATTCAGAGTAGAGATTGGCATCAACGAAATTTGAAAAATTTGTTGCAAGATCTTGGAATATATAGACAAAGTTATCAATGCTAAGCACAAAAATTTCTTACCATTATAGACAAAACAAAATAAGTTAATACAAATTACAAAGGAGATAAAACAAACCCATTTTAAACCATCCGTATTTTTGGCAGAATTTTGCATCATTTAATTGATTAAAAGTAGTGTATATAGAGGATAATCTCATCTTTACTAAGTAATAAGAATAAGAATAATTTAATCATTATCTTAGGCTTCCTTTTTCCTTTATAAATAGAATTTCTCCAAAGGGCTTTTGGATGGATTAACTAATGAATGAATCATTTAATGGGGGTAAATATTGGTTTTATTCTTTCTTCTTTGATCCAAATTGTATATGAGGATCGCTCCCTAATCATGCACACAAAGTTCCATTCATCCACTATTTCTTCTTCCTGAAAAAAATTCATATCCTGTTTGAATGCAATTTTCCTGCTTTAATTTTGGTAGAGAGGTGAGATAATTACTTAACATTTTCTTTAGATTTTGTCCTTTGATTCCTCCACACCCTTGATTGATTCCCTCATCTTCTTCCTTATACAAAATTTAAACCAGACTCCTTTGTTCTTACCCACACTTGTACAACTTATATTTTATTCAAACAAAGGAAATATATCAAAAAAAAAAAAACAAGAAAAAAATGTGATGGAGATAAATGAGTAAGCAAACTTTAACTTCCCACATCCAACTGTAGCTTTACACCTAACCTTATACGTCAAACCAGAATCCCAAAACTCGTTTAGGCCATAAGCCTGCAATCTTGCACCTCAAATACGACAAACACCTAAAAGGACCTAAGAAAAAATTATTTTCCCATAACCTCAATTTTTGTTGCCAGCATTCACTACACCAAAACCTTTTTCCATAAATTATGAACTCATTACGAAGATTTTCATTACCTTACCAGATCTAACCCACTAAAGCTCAAATTTATACCAACCTTTGTCATGTCCAACCCATGTTTGTACCCAATATTTTAAAAAAATCGGTGTCCTAAATCAATTTCCAAGCATCAAAGTTTGGAATCATTTTTTATTTTTTTTATTTTCTACATTAAAACGATATAAAACAAAAGAAACATTCTTAATGGTGTTTTCAATTGTTTTTAACCGCCTAGTAATATTTTTCAAGGTTGGTGAAATAGTGTTTCCTACTATTAAATACATTACACTATAGTTCGATAAATAAAAATAAGAACATTATTAAATTTATTAAAAAAATTAACTTAATTACATATAACAGGTGAAGGATTATTTTGTATTATTTAATAGACTCATGAATTATTCAATGATGCATGCTAAACTGAATAAAAAAATAACTAAAAAGTTATTTTATTGCTAACAGTGACATGATTATGCAAATCATATTTAAATTTAAATTACTCCAGAATTAGCTAAGACTAGGAAAAAAAAGCCTTGTTAAGTTGCATTAGCTACAAACAAAATATTTCTCAAGCAAAGAAAATAACAGTTACCTATAACACTGCAACCTATAATGATAAATATATTTCTATGAAAAAACAAAAAAAATAACTAAAAACAGAATGATACCGAACATTGTCTAGTTGCTCCTGGTTCACCTAGACTCATTAACCTCAAAAAGAAAGCCACCATGCCACATAAATTATGGTTAAGGAATAAATTGAATACCATCGGCAATCATTAATCACTATGCTGTGTTTTGAATGTTCAAACGAGTCAACAAAATATTTTTAGTGCTGATAAGTAGAGCAACAGAACTAGAGATTGTGATAAAAATTTGATTGCTGGGAAGGGAGCAGCAGACGCAAAGAAAGAATTAGGGAGATGAAGAGAAGAAGAAGATTGAGAAATTGGAAAAATAAATAACTCAAAGGAAAACAGAAGATAGGGGGGAAGAAAGCATAAAAAAAACCCTCAAGGTAGAATCAACCCTGACCTGGGATGCGCAAAAGATACATGTTCTTTTTCCATCAGAAAACACCAAAATTTAAAATCTTTTATCTACAAAAATATATCTTATTGTACGATGATAAAATTATCCTTGAACAAATATAAATATGTGACTATAGTTCTAGTTTAAAAGTGACATCTTAAAAACTAGCAATTAACATAAATAAAACAAAGAACAACCACATGTATATAAAACAATAATGATAATTTGATTTGCACTGCATTATAAAATTGGGGTAGACAAAAGAGATTGTCTCAACCAAACCAAAATTAGGAGAACCAATTGAGTCGGTTTCTGTTCAGTTTGGTCTCAACTCTAGGTTTTAGATAAATTGATTATATATGGTTTGGTACATGCTTGAGCTTTCGTCAAATAGAAAAAAATGAAGCAAATTTAGGCCACTCCTCACCAACATATATTAAGTCAAACATCTATTTATAAAGCATCTCTTAGCTATCCTACACATACGTAACATTTCTGCCCTAGTTCTAGCCTCCAATTCCAAATATGCCACTATTTAGTCGCTCAAAATTTTAACTCAACTTTCTCCTAATGAAGCAAGTGAAGGAAATCATATTTCCTTCAGATTCCTATTCAATACAACTCTTTATGTTCCCTTTTATTCTAAATAATTTTATTTTAACAAAGAAGAACTTTAAAGGTAACTTATGGGTCCAACCTTGGACGTATATTCTTTGTAAATAAGACATTCCTCCCAAACTAATGTAGAGTAAGCTATTTTGTTAGCTTCAAGAAATTATTCTATAATAATAGCAACCCCAAACCCTGCCCATGTAATTAATTTCAATCGAAATTTATCACAAATGTATATAATAACTTAGAGTTGAAATTTGTATTTAGAGAACCACACAAAAAACTTACATAAATAATCTTCAACATCAGCCTTCACAATCCGCCCATCAGGGCCTGTACCTTTTAGGCTTGAAAGAGGAACCTACATGACGTGAAGGATAATGATAAATGTTTTCTTTTCAAAAAAAGAGAGATAATACGAATAGGACAATTTCGTTCACTTATATTATGTGCATTATATTTCAAAGCCATATAAATTTGTTCTATAAGTTGCAATATTTAAAAGTTCGTATAAAATACACTGTAAATGCATAATTTTACATTGTTGTCTTCTGCCAATTTTCTTGCTAGAGGACTCGAGAAAATACGATCTTCTGAATGCGGAGTTGCTTCAGCTTGTGAAACCTTTGGCTCCGGAACTTTAACTGGTTCCGGCTCCTCAGATGAAACTGTGGTTGTCTCAGATGGTGTTTTTGCTTCAGCTGCTGGTGCAGAAGATGCCGAGACTTGGTAATTTTTAAATTCTCCAATATCTTGTTCTTCTTCCACAGTTATAGCAATCACCTGATTGAGGCAGGAAACATCAAAAGTGAGATTGAAAAAAAATTTATTATAATATTCTAAATTAGACTCATGGCTTCAACATATACAACATAACTGACGTTAGAGAATGCTTGGATATTGAAGTGCTCAATCCTTAGTATAAAACAACCATTTTTTAGCGTACTTCCTGGAACACCTGAACATTCACATAGCAACATCCTAATGCTTTTTGTTTTAAATTTTTCATATGTTAATTAAAGCTTCCAAAATGCTTTTGTAGGCAATATTTTGCCTTAAAATTGTTTGGATCATTTCTAGCAAGCAAAATGTCATCCATAAAAATACCAAGTATGACCGAGCAAGAGGTAGAACTTCTACCAAAGCAAAAACAATCAATGATGCTACTATGAAGGCCATTCATAATTTTTCAAACCAATAATTGTAACATTTTTAAGCTATAGATATATCCTTTCTAAGTATACATATATGATTCTCCCCCTGAACAACATACCTAGAAAGTTCGTCTGTATAAAGAACCAATTAAAAATCATCATAAATAAAGACATTACTCGCATTCCATTCGACGAGATTCCTGCCTTGATTGATTCCCATAGAGAGAGATTCAGGCAGAGTTGAGCCTAGCAATTGGGGAGAAGGCATCATAATAAAGGACTAGAGTAAATCATTTGACAACCAAGTGACTTTTGTATCAAATGATAGAACCGTCAAAACTATGAAGACTCACCGACAAGCAATCAATTAACCCCATAGAGAGAGAGGAGGGGGCAGTAATTAAATCAAATATATGGTGCATAAGTTAAGCACCCATCTTAAAACCTATAGATTTTACAAAAAAGGATTTTCTAGTTCTTCATGACATGTCTTTTAAGATAGATACATAAGAGAGGCGAGACAAGTAAAAAAAGAAAAGGAAAGATGATCAAATGACATACACGATAGTGTGGTGAGTAATGCATTTGCTTTTTAACTTTCCGTAGGGCAATTGGTAAGAGGAGATCAGAATTCTTCATTAAGTGGGTGCTCAAACGAATTTGACAATGTGAAATTAAAGTATTGTCATAAAAGAGGATGGAGATTATCAAAAACTAAACTTCTTTTGGGTAGATGTAAGAAGAAGAGTTTCAAGAGGTGAAACTCTCTTACAAGAAGAAAGAGAAAAGCGGGAGTGTTCTCATGAAAAGCAACATTGTTCATCAAGCCCCTATATAAAATTTAATCAAAGCAAAAACTTCTCTGGTCCGTGATATGCAAAAATAGAAGAACAATAGCTACCCCACTGGGGCAATTACACAAACTAGAAGAAAACACTAAAGCCCAAGCAATCAGTAGTACACCTTCAAAAAACATAGCAAAATTGCAAATTGAACTTGACCCACATTGATTGTCAAAGCAGCTCTTCCTACATTCTATGTGAAGTATATAGAGATAGAAGGAACTATTCTGCTACCCTTTTGCATACTATTGGCTTCGGGATTGTTACTCAAACAAAGATTTTCATGGAATATGGTAAAAATCATCAATTCAGAAGGATGTTGGAAGATCTTTGCTGTAAGAGAAGAAAGTTGCTCAAATCTCTATCTAGGTAAATAGCACGGTGTCCAGTCTCCTAAAGACGGAGCCATAAAGAAATAAATCATCTTGACTAAACTATGCCCTATTTGAGATATGGTAAGCCCTCTAATATAAAATCTTCATCAAACATTATAAAGTCTCATTCCAATGTTAATACACAAATGAATGGGTTCATCATCACAATTAGATTCCACTTCAGGTTCATTTATATGAACCTGATTGGTTTTTATATTTTAAATCCTCTCTTTTAGCTTGATTGATATCCTAACACAATTACTTTTGCTCCAATTGAATTTGTAAAACTACTAAAATAGAGAAGTGTCCCATAAGTATTATGCGAAAACATTATTCCATGAATAATTAAAATTAAATTTAGGAAAATACAAAAAAATTAGGTGCAATGTAAGAATATGAGTGTTGAGAAATAAATTCTTTGATTACTAAGCTTAAGTGTAATAGGAACGAGAACATTAATCTATATGAGAGATAAATTTAAGAGGGATAAATTAAAAAAAATGATTATATTAAAGGGTGAATACATTTTGATAAAAATAAGATAGTTTAAAATAGATTTAAGAGATTTAAATCCGTATAATGAAGAATAAAAAATGCATCAATTAAATAAAAGACTATTATTAGTAAAAAATTATTATAAAGAAATAAAGAAAATAAAATAAAATTAAGATAACACTGATAAAATTTGCTTGAAATTATTTTTAAATAATAGGTTTAACACCTTAATTAACACACGATAGAAGGTATTGGAATAAGGATTCATAAAGACGACCTCAAATAGTTGAGATAAGGCTGACAATGATTATCTTCAAACGTATATTATTGTAATTATAAGCTTTGAATGTTCATATCTTCTCTTCAATCATCATAGAAAAAAAAATATTTTTTTCATATCCTCATTCTAGCATGCACCAATGTATGAACCCACAAGACACAAATGAGACACCAGTTTTATAAAATAGAGGATGCGTGCAAATCACTAACATAATGTATGCGTGCCCGTCCATATAATTTTAAAATAATATTTAGTAATCTCATAAACTAAATAACATGAAATAAATAAAAAAGATTTGAACTTTGCAAGGATGAAAAATTAGAAAAATTTAATCATGAAAAAAATATATAAAGATTATCATAGTATTAAAAACTGAAAATAGTCCACAAATAAAAAAGCAAAATTATGACAATTATTAATTACATTGAAAAAATAACAAGTAATAAAAATTTAACAAAAACTAAAAAACCTGTCACAAATAATTTTTAGAGTATTGCATATATAAAAAATAAGCACATGCTAGTTGGTCCAACACAAATCATCAGAACTTTATATTTTATTATACATTTTGTTACTATTTAAAAACTTTAAACATAATTATTTAGAGCAAGCATGTACAATTTTTTATTTTTTTTTATTTACATTGAAGATGTGATAGACATGTCTGACATGACAGACACTGCACACTGATTTATAAATAAGTGTTTGCGCATCATAGTCATCATTATACTTCATGGTCTAGTTCTATCGTCACTGTTTTTTCAACAAGTCTTTGTATTGTTTGATTTATGTAATTAGACACATTGATAATAATATTCAAAATTGACAACATCGTGATTTTATCCTCATTGTATAGAAAGCGGATTTTGTAAATGCTAAATAGTTTAAACTAAATTGTAATATGAATCTTCTAATTCTTTACCTAATATTAATAGCACATTTAATTTTGAATAAGTTGTAAATATCAATATTTCAAAGAAAGGATCATATAGTAGTGAATCATACTAATAACATTGTTGGAAAATGTTAGTGCAACGCTTCTTTTCCTTTTCCCACAAAAGTTTGAATATTGCGGCTTCATGAAGTTTCTCACGTTAATTAGTATGCCCATGTTTCTAGAACAATAATCAATTACATAAATTAAAAAATTTCAATAGCAATTATTATTGCTCGAGTACATCAAACGTCAATCAGAAGCGTTATTCACATGTTCTAGCATTCTGAATATTTGGGGTTAGCTTCTCAACTTTTATTTTCATTCATTCATGTTAGGTGCTAGTGCAACTTATGAGGTTAACATTAGTGCAAGCAAGTGGCGTCTTTTTCAATTTTCAGTATGTAATACACGTGCTTTAGAGAGCATGTACGGGTTCTAGCAAACACAAGAAATGGAAAGGAAAAACCCAATAGAGTTCACTATGGAATATGATGAATTAAATAACTATAAATATTGTGTAAAGAGTTAACCTAGCATCTGAAAAGTACCAGTGAGACAAAGCAAAGGTTTCATAGGTAAATTGAAAATCAAAGTCGTTTATACCTCTCCCACTTTTATGTTCTGCGCACCATCTCCTTTTATTATCTTAGCAAGATAGCCTTCTTCCATGCATTCCATTTCCACAGTGGCTTTATCCTAATAAAGTGAAGAAGCAACAATCATGATAAATATCAAAAAATGTATTGAATAATAAAATGTGTTCACAGATATCCAACTATCCTACAGTTTCAACTTCACAGAGAACTTCACCGGGAGAGATTTTATCTCCTTCCTTCTTCAGCCACCTTGCAATGTTTCCCTGTTGGTAATGTTTCAGAAAGCTTAGAGTTTACAGGATAAAAACTTCGCATTTGATAGCACAACATTTAGGTACCTCTGTCATGGTAGGAGAAAGAGATGGCATTCCAATTTCCTGATGTGAAGGAAGGTCTGAAATAGAATGACAAAAAGCACCCTGAGTACTCTCATGAAAACCGAGAGCAAAAAGAGTGAATTTTTCTCTTATGGATCATTTAAGCTTAGGTGGAGGAATAACAAAGGTATTAAACAAGAAAAATCAATAATATTTCCATGAACTAATCAGTTACATATTAAAAAAAAGCAAACTACTCCATGAGATAAGCAATAACACTAGATACAAATCAAACAAAAGTCAGGCTTTCTTCCGAATTGCGTCATATCAAAACTAACTAATTTGCAGCAAATTTGACTTGATTTCATCAAATGCACTAAGGGTGCAGAAGATGCTAATGAACTAGAAAAAAAATATAAAATGAATGTTGAAACAAAGCTGCCCAGGAAAACAGAAAATGAACCAAGGGTGCAGAAGATGCTAATGAACTAGGAAAAAAATATAAAATGAATGTTGAAACAAAGCTGCCCAGGAAAAGAAAAAATGAACTGAGAGTGCAGACGATGCATATGAACCATTATGTTAGGTAGGATAAAAAGGAAATTTAGAGACAACAGTTTAGAAACAGTGGTAACCGAACATTCAAAATATTTAGCAAAGTTGCACATCAGAAAAATGATACGATCGGACATCAAAATCAGCAAGTTTTTTCATAGAAATTAGGGCAAACATAAATTTGATTTCCCAAACACCAAATTAAAGCAATGCAACACTAATAACTTACACTAATACAATGGATAAGCACCTATAATTCGAGAGGTAGGCGATCTCTCCAAATTTCTACAATTCGAGAAGTAAATCTCTCCCAAACCCTAAACCTAAAACTCACAAGAACAATCTCATGCCACACCCTTACACTAAACATAATAAGCCTATTAATATCTAACAGTAATAACAATTATAAAAGACTAACTTGTCCTTAGACGTACAAAAGAAAAAATTGCCCTTAGACTAGACATTGGTGTAACAGAAAACTTAGCACATAGAAGGATGAGTGTCAGATTGTATGTCCTCATAGATTTGCTCTGTCATTAGGAACCATATAAAGATAATACACAACATTTACAAAATTTCTAATATCGTTCTCAAGTAGTTCATTTTTTGTTATTGATGAGTTGCTCTCTTCACTTTCCTAGCACCAAAAATAAATAAAGAAAATACAAAAAAAAAAAGCTTATCAACTGATAATCTCTGACCCTTTAGAACGGAATGCACCAAATACTTACAAAACTCAAGATAAATTAAGCGGAATGCTTGCAGCAGCAGAAGCGGTCACCCAAATCAAAATTTATTGCAATAAATATTAGTATGTTTTAAATAACGAACTATAAGAATAAGTATTTATTATAGAAGGCAGGTCAATAACAATGATTGAGTTGCATCTATTGTGAAAGCGAGAACAAGAGCCATAGAAACAACCTCCTGCAAAGCGTAAGACTAAGTGGACGAACCTCTCCCTAGACCATGCGTAAGCATGCATCTTCTTCCCTAGCAATTCCTTTTAATCAAGAATAGTATAACAAGTATATCCTTTTATTAGTTGGAACATTTATCCAAATTTAACAAAATTTTGGCCTGCTTTCCTAGACAACAGCTAATCAAAACTTGGGATCACTTCTGAGAGCCCCTCTTTATCATTCAGTCATGTCATGCTTAATCTAGCCTTTTTTTATTTTTTATTTCAGCACTACTTCTAGCCAAGTTATTCTTGTACTAACCTATTCATCCTACTCCTTTTACATTGATTTCTTCTGCCAAATGCATTTAGGTTTGAACTACTCTCAAATATACATGAAAACCACCTATCTCTACAATCTCAAACCTAATTTTTAAAAAACACTAACACCTCACTAAAATATATCACTTAACTTCCTAATCTTCCAAATCTCGCAACATTTTATTCATAACATTCTCCCTTCTTTACCAAAGCACTCTATCTTAGTTATATCCGTAACATGACTTTGAAAAAAATATCAAAGATACAAATAGTAATCAATACATCCTTTGTAACTATTAGCTGATCATTATAATTTTTATTCATGTCATGTACCAAAATTTTGTTCCATTAAAGGTATAAGGCCATTAAATCTAAATTTTCATCATCTTATTTTCCATTGGACAGTTAAAACAATGTCATCTAAAAATAAACCACCCCAAAATGCCACACCAAAAAATATGTATTTTCCATAATCTTATTGTTACAACTCAGTTTAAATATTTGTTGCAAGTTCGTTCATGAAAAATGTTAAAATATGGATAACCATAAGTGAAATTCTTTACCATAATCTCATGTATGCCAGTTATTTCATCCACGCTCGCTATAATATAACAGTTGTCATTTTAAACTCTATAGATTTATCACATAATCATCTTAGCATTCCTAATTCTCCTTCTTAATTGACTAATGATCTGTAGCCAACCTCACAATGTTATTGCAAGAACCCAAATTTAAAGGCTAGAATAGATTCATGAAGATTATAAATTTTTGGGATAATTACATACAAAACAGCTGAAACATTCACTATAGAGCAACTGTTAATTAGCGTCTAAATTACGTTGGAAATTTTTCCGGCGCGACTGATTAACGTTTGTTAACGTCGCCCGGCGGTCCCAAAATCAGAAGAAACAACGCTAGCGAGTTGGGTCTAGTAGAGGTCGTTAATCCGACGTTCTAGTATTAGCTATGGCCGACGCTAAACTCACTTAATAGCTTCGGATTAGTGTCGGCCAAAGCTGACGCTAAATCTGACACTAAAGCCCTAAAATATGGCTCCCACAAACCACAACTCTACTTCACATGCTCCTCCTTCAGCTTCGTTCGTTGTCTCCTAAGCTTCTCTAGCAAATCCAGCTCTGTTTCACCGCTCCAACCTTATCCAAGGTGAGAAATCTTCTTCCACGCCTCCAAGCTTTGGTTTAGCATAAGTTTTCATCTTTTTTTTACTTGCATAGGTGTTAGATCCAAAAATACAAAGGTTTTGCTGAGTTTTTACGTATTCCATTGTTAGGTATGCAATACATATGGATTTTATGGTTTTCACTAAGTTTAGGTGTGAGATATATAAATGCTAAGAAATTTATGCTACAAAATAAAATTATGGTGTGAGATATATAAATTCATAAGAAAATTGTGATATGTATGTAAATATGAAATTTAGGTGTGAGAAATGTGAATGCTTAAGAAATTTGTGATATATATGTAAATAAGAAAATTTAGGTGTGAGATTTGTAAATCCATACGAAATTTGTGTTGGGTATAAATATGAAATTTAGGTGTGAGATATATAAATGCATAACAAGGTTGTGCGATGTTTGTAAATATGAATTTTAACTGTGAGATACGTAAACAAAAAAGAAATTTTGTGCTATGTATCTAAATATTAAAATTTAGGAGTGAGATGTAAATACATTAGAAATTTGTGTTATTAATGTAATATGAAAATTTCGGTGTGAGATATGTAAATACATAAAAAAAAAATTATGTTATATATGTAAATATGAAAATTTAGGTGTAAGATATATATGGAAACACATACGAAATTTATGTTGTGTCTGTAAATATGAAAATTTAGGTGTGAGATATATAAATTCATAAGAAATTTGTGATATGTAAGTTTAGTGTGGTAGTGTTAATTTTCTCTGAATTTATGGGCTATGTGTTTCGAATATGAGGTATAGGTGGCTTAAAATTTCAAGTAGGATGTGTAATGTGTACATGCGCTAATCTATAGAACTACATTTATGGTACAGAGGAATATTTGAAACGTTAAATCGTGGATGTATAACAGATTATATCCAGAAAAAAAAAAATTAACTGACGAGTTTATTGCTGGTGCTGAAGAGTTCGTGCATATGGCATCGCAGCTGTCCGTTTACTTCTCAGAGGTAGGTTCAGATGCCCCTGTGCGAAGCAAAAGAGTCAAACGTATCTAACACCTGACAAAGTGAAGTTGAATCTATACCGTAGGGGATTTAAACCCGATTATTGGTATTGAACTTCACATGGTGAATTTGAACCAGATGTTCAGTACGGTCATGTAGGAGCCTCATCAAGTTATGCACCACCAATTGTTCACGATTCAGACATGTATGAGCAAATGATTGATGATGAGACTAGGGCTCATTTTGTTAGAAGTGACTAATGAAAATCAGGAATCAAATAGTGAAGCACAACAATTCTATGAACTATTAAATGCCGCCCAACAATCATTGTCAGAATGATGCACTTCACACATACAGTTAACAGTCGCTCTAAGAATGTTGAGTATTAAATTCGATTTTAACATACACAGAGAATGTTTCAATTAGGTAATAACATTATTAAAAGTGACAAATCTTTCTAGTAATTTAGTTCCAAAATATTTGTACAAAACTAAAAAGTTAGTGGCGAAGTTAATACTATCTGAGAAGATAAAATGATGCATCAACGTGTATATGTTATATTACAGAACGAATGCAGAAGAAACAAAATACAAATTTTTCAGTGCTGATAGGTTCAAACTGAAGGGAAGAAAGAGTAAAAACTAGAAGAATATTCCTTACAAATGTCTCTTTTATTTTCCTCTCATTACACGGCTCCAACAATTGTTTGCTTCTATGTGCACAACTTCCCACATGACATGTCATAATACTGGATTTGTCAATACTAGTACAATGACAAATCTGTCAACTGGTGAAGCTTGGAAACACTTCGATCACAGTTATCCAAATTTTGCAGCAGAATCATGCAACGTCGGGCTTGTTTTATGTAAAGATGGGTTCGCACCTCACAATCATGCTACGACACCCTATTTTTGTTGGTCAGTTATTATCACGTCATATAATTTACCCCCTAATATTTGTATGATTGTGTCGTTCTTATTTCTATCGTTGATCATACCAGGTCCACATTGCATGGACATGTCTAAAACATTCACTTTGAAACATGGAAGAAAAAATTTATGATTTGATTGTCACCAAAGATTCTTAGCACGTGATCACCTGTTTTGGAGGAATAAATATGCATTTTTTAGAAATA